AAATCCATTTCACCAGGGCACTTGCAAGAGCCTGTAAAACAAATAGCCACAGAAAGGGCTGCCCACCATGTTGTTCTTATCTCCCCATTGCCCCATATCTGCTTTAACCTTGGATAGGACAGGAGCCGTCAACTGTTCGCTATGCAAAGCAGCAGCAGGATGACCCGTCCTCCAAGGGGAGGCTGCCTGGTCTCTGCACAACTCACAGCTCCTTTCATTCAGAGAGGGACACCTAGAATAGCAAAGTGCATGGAAGTGCAACAGGTAGGCCAGGTCGTTCTGAACCTTAGATGTTCTAAAAGGGAAACTTTATTGACGTCAGCAGCATTGCATTCAAGCAGCAGTTCAATACTTTGCTCATCAGGGTCAATTTGGGCGGCGTGTTGGGAGGAACCAGGTCTTTAAAATAACCTCAAAGGGAGATCCCAGTGGTACTCAGTTGTCCAAAAACCACGAAAAAAAGAAACCTGGAGCTAGTCCTGCGCATTACCGTCTAGAAGCGCCTCTGTAGCCTAACCTTACCATAATAGCCCTTTGAGCAAACAGATCCGGATGCATGCTCACTGACCAGGTCTTCAGGAAGCGACTTTGAATGTTGACGCCTGTCTCCAAAGCAGAGAACAGTGAAGCGCTGCCTAGGGTCGAGTTACATCCGGTTTCGCGAAGCTACTTGGAGTGTTGAACAAGCAAGGAAGAAAAGCAAGGAAACAAACAAAAAAAAACCACTAGGAGGTCTTTCAGAAGAATGTACTAGTTGGGCAGTCCAGATCGCTTCGGAGATTGCTCATGGGCTGGATGCAACATACACACACGCCCCAAGCACAGAGAGCGCCAAAAGGGCCGTCCTTCCTGGTGGGCCCTACCCCAATCAGATTCCGCATCCCGGTTCCCTGCAATTACAGTTGTTGAGCTTCTGTTCAGAGTGGCTTCCCCACAGACCATCCAGGGTTAAAAAGGAGGTTGATGACCCTGCGCTGAAAAAATCCTCCCGAGCTTCCTTTTTCCCCAAATTTGGCCTTTCTCTTGCAAGTCACATGGCCCCAAGGGGCTGAATTCTAGGGAAGAGTCCCTGCAGGAACGCAGTTGGAGGGAAGGGCAGCAGCAGGCACAGTAAGGCAAGCCGGAAGGAGCAGGGAGACAGACGATTGTGTGCGCAGGGCGTTCTGCTTACAATGAACCAAGGAAGCAAGCCGGTGAATTATTCCAAGGCAGCTAGGGATGGGCAAATCTCTCCCATTCTGGTTTCCTTTCCATTTCTTCTTACATTGTTAATTCCAGCCCTCCACGTTTCTACATCAGTTTGCAAATTCTTTTTTAAGTCCCCATGAAAATTGGTCAGCATTGTGAGAATCTCTAAAATGCACATTTTGCGTGCAGTATACACATTTTAGCAAGCGATCCTTGTGCACTCACTGTGTTTCTGTGCACATTTCAACCAGTACGTGCATCTTTGCATTCCTTACTTGGTTGGAAAACACTGCAAAATTCAGAGAAGTGTGAATTTCAAAGGACAGCTGTGTTTCAGTTTGCATGTTGTTTCAGGAAGCGGATAGTGGGTAGATTTGCCTTTAAACTCAAACAGAATCAAATCTCTCTCCTATCCCAACTTCTAGACAGCCTGCTTTTTGGGGGCATTCAGCCTGATTTGCTTGTGGGGAGGTCAGACAACAGCTGCATTAAGTCACCATCACCCCGCACTTTGTCACTATCCTTATTGCAAAAAGTCTGATTTCAAGAGGGAACATGGTTTGTTGTGCAAGAGTGCAAAAGGATTTTTAATTGTGCAACCTGAATTTGCTGGTATGGTTGAATTTCATGTGAAAATGGTGACAGCCTAGAAAGCCCCTAGCACTAGTGTTGCTGCCCAGTAAGGGAAACCTTAAGTTGATAAATCATATTGCAATTGATTGCTTAGATCTGCATTAGTTAGCATCACCTTAGGCAATGTGGCACCCTGCAGATGTTATTACACTGAAAGCTCGGGTTGCAAACGTAATCCATGCGAGATGCACGTTTGCAACCCGCAGCGTTCGCAACCCACATCTGCGCACACATAGTATGTATGACTGTAGACTCCAACTCCCATCAGCCCTATGCAGGACAGCCAATCATTTTGTTTTGTTTCCAGTCAGTTCACAGAATATTGCAGCCCTGTTGAACACCGTTTATTTGTTTGTTTGTTGCATTTATATCCCAACACTTTCTCCAAGGAGCTGAAGATAGTGTACATGAGATCCTCGTTTAATCCCTGCAACAGCCCCGTGAGGTTGATTTAGCTGAGAGAGAAGTTCACCCCGTGAGCTTCACAGCCCAATGGGGATTTGAACCCTGGTCTCCTGGGTCCTAGCCTGACACTCTAACCACTACACCACGCTGGCTCTGTTCCTCAACTGTTCTGTTAACTGTTCTTTCATACTGTAATAACCAGCAGTTTGCTTGGGCCAGATGCGAACAACAAGGCGACTTAGTCCAGGCTCTGAGAGGTTCCCCAAATTATTTCAATCAAGGTAGGATTTAAAAAAGACCACGAGGAGCATAGGAAGGAGCATAGCTCAGTGGCAGAGAATCCGCTTTAGATGCAGAAGGTCCTAGGTCAATCCCTGGCATCTCCAGGTACGACTGGGAAGGCGCTGCTGCCAGTCAGTGTGCATAATGGACCAATGTTCTGACTCCAGTATACAGCTCCTTTGTTCACCTTCTGTTGGGGTTTAGGCTCTTGCTCAGGGATAGGGAACCTGCGGCCCTCCCGATGTTGTTGGATTTGAACTCCCATCATCCCTCCCCACTCGCCGTGCTGGCTGAGGCTGATGGGCATTGGAGTCCAGCAACATCTGGAGGGCATCAGGTTCCGTAGCTATCTGGCAGCTGCAGAAGAACCGTGGTGGAAAGCCGACAAACCTGGGAGTCCTCAGTTCAACTCTCACCTCTGCCGCAGACTCGCTAAACAGCCACAGGCAAGTCGCTTTCTTCTAGCTTCCCATTGCCATCTGTTGTATGGGCAGGGAGAGCTTGCAGGCGCATTTAACCTTTCTAACCCCCCCCCCAAATCATGCAAGTGCCACCCTCCAGTTAAAAAGCAACAACAGACTGCTTTCCCTTGACTACAAAAACTGCTTTTGTTTTCCAAAATGGGAATGCACAACCCAAGATTCAGAAATTCCCTTACTGAGAAATGCTGGGTTCTAGAGCTGGATGACCACCTATAGATAGATATTTTGAACCTGCCTTATGCTCAGTCGCATTGCTGGTCCATAAAGCCCAGACTGGTAACAGCTCTCAGGAGGCCTCAGGCAGGGAAAGCTTTTTCCCAGCACCTGCTAGCTACCTGATCCTTCTAACCAGGCTGGGACATTCTGCATGCCAAGCACCTGCTTTGCCACAGAGCCACAACATGCCCTTTCTTGGAGGGCATGGGAGGGGTCATAGCCCAGTGTTTTTAATTGTTTTAAATAGGTTTTTCATAGAATCATAGAATTGTAGTTACCCCAAGGGTCATCTAGTCCAACCCTCTTGCAATGCAGGAAATCTTTTGCCCAACATGGAGCTTGATTAAGAGTCTCATGCTCTACCGACTAAGCTGCTATCCCGTACATCTGCTTTGGATGCAGAAAGCTCCAGGTTCAAACCCCAAGGGCATCTCCAGTTATAACAGGGAAAAGAACCCTGCCTGAAACTTGGAGAGGTGCTGCTAGTCAGTGTTGGCAATGCTCAGTTAGATGGACCAAGGGTTGGAGTCTGCATAAGGACGCTTTCCATATTTCTACAAATATGTCCCCACTTTCCCCCTGATGTCTGAGACCTCTTGCAACGGGGGGGGGGGGAGAGAGATAATGCCCCGAGTAGACCAAGAAACCATTCCTTCTCAACACCCCCAGACTTGCGGGGGGGGGCTGTCTGTGCAGCCTTGAGGACTAGCAACGTGATGTTTTGTTTAAATGAGCTGGCATGTGTGCATTTCAGGATGCCAAATTCTGCAAGTGCCCGGGAAGGGATGGGCGAACAAGCATGTCCCTGCCCTCAGCAGCAACTGCACACACACACACACACTTTTCTCTCTTTCCTTCGTCCAGCCAAGCAATACTAAGAGTTCAAGGATCCATTCCCAGACAGGCAAATGCACAAGGTGTGAAACAAGGGCCAGTTGGAGAGGCCTGGGGGGGCACCCCACTTTATAAGACAGATAAAAAAACCCAATCTAGCCTCGTTATCTAATAAGGGGCCCTAGTAGCTTTCACCCAAAAGTAAGTACCGACTGAGCGCAATAGGGTTCGCTAAGTGCGCCACTGAAATTAAACTATATATAGGAGCTAGTCCTCATGGAACTGATTCTGGTTAAGTTCCAGTAGCCTGAACTTGCGCAGCCGGGAAAAGGTCCCGCTTCAGTAGTAGGCGTGCATGGGAACGCACAGTCCAGAAACAGGGCTGGCTGCCTCTGCAAATTTTCCTTGGATCGGAATCAGCTCCATTGAACGCACCCGAGAACTTGTCTAGGATCGAGCCCTGCCGCTGCAAAACCCCACCCGCATTCACCGCAGCCTACTCGCGAACAAGCACGCGTGTGCGAGGTGCAGATCTCAGGAAGTCCACGGGGTATGTAATGAGTGTGATTCTGTGCGTGGTGCACGTTTACTCGGGAATAAGCCCCGTTTGGACTTCTAGTTGTTACCGTATTTTCACTCTGGATTTAAGACGGGCTTGCAAGGGGGAGGAGAGCACGTTGCAAGCAGAACACCACTTACTCGCGAATAAACCGGCAGCCTCCCCGGGACTGTCCCACCGCGAGCGAATTACTTGCAAGCAAGTCTTCCCAAACTGCAATCAAGTAGCGCTTCACTCCCCAAAGCGGGGGTCCTTAGGGCGCCAGTGGATCCCCCTCGGGGCTTGCTCCCGAGGAAACCCTTTGCCCGACTCCCAGTGGCCGCCCTGCGCCTTTAAGACCTCTCCCCGTCTTCCCCCCTCCGCTTTCCCTCCGCCGGGGGTGGCACCGCCTCCCCGCCCCTCATTAGCGCTGACATCAGCCTTAAAAGTCCCAGCTTTGGGCGTGGAGGCGCAACGCAAGACGCGGCTTGATCGACCCGGTGTCTCGCTCACAACAGCGCCTGCGACGCCCCGGTGGGAAGGTAAGGAGACGCTGTGGCGGGGCTCAGCCTTAATAAGCTGCGCTCGCTCCGTCGGGGAGCTGTGGTCCGAGCCGCCGCACTCTGCACATGTGCTGGTGAACTCTTTTCTCTCTCTCAGCGTGGTCTGTTCCGTGCCTGAGTTTCCAAGAGAGGCCTCGGTCCTGGTTTAAGAGGGCAGAGCCAGAGGACTGGAGGGGGATATATGCTATGCGGTGCAGATAATTGTGGTTCATAAACCGCGACACCCAAATAGTTCCCACCCCGGTTTAAGGCGTGGGACGGGTCAGGGGTGGGTGCTTTGGGAGAACCCCCCAAAAAAGAGAGGGAATTGGAGCCCCCTTTTCGTGTGGGGAGAAAGAGGGTACATGGCGAGCTATTTTCCCTAATTATGTGCGGTCTTTTCAAATCGATCGCCACCCTTTCTGCTACAGGGGAGGTTTGGTCTGAAAGTAAAGACTCTGGGTGCGTTTTAGGGTAAACGGCGCTCCGGTTTAAGGAGATCCTGTGTAAACGATGTATTTTTCCCCCCTCCCCGCCCAGTCGCCCTGTTCTGTTTGGGAAACGGCCAAAGCTCAGTGGCGGAATATTTGCTTTGCTTTCAGAAGGTTCTATTTCCCCGATAGGAGTGACTCCTGTCTCTAGTCCTAGAGAGCTGCTGCCAGTCAGTGTAGACAATATTGAGCTAGATGGACAGCATCTAAGGCATCTTTCAAGGCTGTTTGATTTGCCTTGCCCCGCATCTAAACGCCAGCCTGTGCGAACATGTGCGTTGCGGGATGATGTCACCTCCGCTAGGCTCCTTTGCTTCATCAACCGGATTATAGGTATTCACTGCCATAACACCAGAAACTAGGTGGCTGTGACCCTTAGTCTACTTGCTTGAAAGTGATGTCATAGAATTGTAGAGTTGGAAGGAACCCCGTGGGTCATGTAGTCCAGCCCCCCTGCAATGCAGGAATATTTTGCCCAAAGCCAAACTCGAACCCAGAACCCTGAGATTGAGAGCTTTGTGCTCTACTGGCTGAGCTATTGCAGCTGTACGCATCTTTTGCTTACTCATACACACATGTGTGTGTGTGTGTGTGTGTGTGTACACTTGACAAAATTTAATCCAAAGGAAATATGTTTAGGACAAGTGCGTTCATCCAGACTAAGCTACACTTAAATCCTAGGCACACTTAAACTACACCCTTAACTCTTCTTTCCTGGGAGCAAGACCATTTGAGTTCAGTGGGACTTAACTTGTGAGTAGGCATGGCTGGGATCAGTGCCCGAACTTGGGAGCCAGCCCCACTGAAAGCAACAGGGCTTGCTACTGACTGTATGTAGGACTGCGTGTACAATTTTATTTTGGGGTTTTTAACTTGTTGGATAAAGTTTCTCCTGAGCGTACTTTCACCCCTCTTTGGCGCTTCTTTGCAACTCCCCCCCCCCCCCGCCAGCCCAATTTGCTACATCTCCCTTCCAATTTTGGATATCTCTCTCTACTGGGTTTTTCAGTGGGGCCCGCCTCACCCCGCGCCAAAATCTGTTATCAATGGGATAGAGCAGGCGGAGGGGGAATGTGGTTTCCTAACTCTGTGCAACTGCTTTTGAGTAATGAGGTCTGAATGAGTAATTGTCTCTATTTATGCAGGGGGGGAAAGAGGAGGGGGGAGAGAGAGGAATTTGAACCGCATCACTGAACAGACCCTCTCCTGGAAATGAGACAATTTGGCAATGTCTCCTTGCAGACTGTCTTTTGCTTCTTTCAACTGAGGCACGTCCTCGACTGATCTCTGACGGAGGTCGGAATGTAGGGATGACGAAACTGGTGGGGCAGGGGGGGGGCAGAGAAGTTTTCTTCTGAGCCCACTTCCAGTCTACGCAAGAAAGGACTGAGTTGCCCTGATGATGACTCTGATGATGACTCCTTAGGGAATGATTTCAGCCGCCCCAGGGCTGTGGTCACAAAACGGAAGAAGTCTAGCTACCTTTCTAGTGGGAGATAACAAGGTGGGCAGAAAGGCATGTGTGGGTTCCCTTGTTACCTTGTGGAACTCCTTGCCACAGGAGAAAGCGGCGGCAGCGGTAGCAGCTCAGTTATGGCATTGGTATAGCACTGTGGCTGAGGATGAGCTTGAGATCAGGGGACCTTGCCTTTTCAAAACTCTCTCTCTCTTTGCCTTATGCTCACTAGGTAGCTTTAGGTGTGCCTCATGTCCACATATTGAGATGATATTTGCCTAGGCCACAAGGCACTTGTAAGGGTTTCAGTTTTATACAGGAGAGTGAAGTATCTTTCATACGATTTAAGCCCAGCCTTGTCCACGAATATTGTTTTCATGGGTTTTGACCCACTATAGAGCCTCCATAGCAAGGCCCAGTGTATCCTGGATTGCTAGGCACTGGCATAGGCCCTAACTCATGAGCTTCTCATATCATGAGGAGGCTGTGCCCCTCTGGAAGTTGTCTGATTCCAACTCTCATCAGCCCCAGCTAGCAGGTCCAATGGTCAGGGCTAAGAGGAACCACCAGCAGCAGTTACATGTTGGCTACTGTCATGGATGCTTTAGGTGAGATTCCTGCATTGCAGGGGGTTGGACTAGATGGCCCTAGGGGTTCCTCCCAACTCTATGTTTCTGTGACCCTCCCAAATGCAGGGTAAGCAGCATGGGGGTGTGGCCCAAAGGTGGCTCTCCTGTTTTGCATGCGGATGACCCCAGTTTTGAATTCTGACCTGTCTTTTTCACAGATCAGCAGCAGATAATAAGGGAGAAGTCGTTTAGCCCTGTGGCCTTGGAGAGTGACTGCTGCGTAGCCAGCAGTGAGTTAGGTGGAACCTTGATCTGATTAACAAAATTTCAAAAAGTGTTCAGGGCTTGCCTCTGCCTTAAAAACTTGCAAGGCCCTTGGCACACTTTCAGATGTTGAAAGGCAAAAGTAATGTGTGGATGCGTGTAGAACTCCCCTGGTATGTTTTCAGCTCTGTGTCTCACCTGGGAAGCAAACCTGGTTTTGTGTCTGTAATGTGGACACTGCTGACAACCTGATAAGACAGGTCAGAATTGCTTTGGGTGCTGCAAGAGAGTTATAAAACTCCAGATGCATATTGAATGTTCTAGGTGCCCTGACTTTTGTAGTCTTTGGTATGCTGACATTGAGGCTGAAGTGGGCTCCTTGTTTTGTGCAGCCCGAATGAGGAACTGGAGTTGGCACACCCCTGCACCCCAAAATAAGCTCTGGGCTAACTTATACCATAAACCTCCATGACCTGGAAGCTGCCTGCTTTCAGCTACACCCCCATTGTCTCCCAAAGCTCTGCAAGCAATTGGCACACATATAGAGCTGGTAATTGATGCTGCATTGTTTGAAATGGGTGTGGAACACCCTGATAATAAGGGATAGGACCCATTTTAATTTTAAGCAAAAGGAAACCGCCCTCTTTCTTGCCTGCCTTCTCTCCTCCAGTACACACACAGCTTCCTTTGTTAGACTTGGGTCAATTCTGCAATGGGAGCCTTGGGCCCAGGAAGTCCTAAACCAGGGGTGGGGAGCCTTGGGCCAGTGGTGGCCCTCAAAGCCTCTCTATCCAGCCCTTGGCATTCACCCCTGGCCATGGCCCTCACAAGGCCCTGAATATTTTTGCTGGCTGGAATGTGCCTGTTAATGCTTCTTGCTTCAAAGCTGGGTTGCGGCTTTCCTTCAGGTGTTTTCCTTCAGGTTCTGGAGCCTGAGCTTCATCTAAAATCACTTGCAGTCATGCAGATCAAGGCTGGCTTTGGGTCTGAAGAGGCCTTTGGCAAAGCGTCTCTGGTGGGCAGAGGGCTCTTTCCTAGGTGGGCTTCCCTGTCGAGGGTCTTGGCGGTTGGCAAGGAGCTTGGATACCCACAATGCCCTTCTAGGGAGTAGCGCTATTCCCAGGGCATTGTGGGGAATCTTGAAATGGCAGGTGGCACTCAAACCCAGCTATCCAGTGATCCATGCAGGTGACCATGAGGATGGAAACGGATGATTGACACAGCTGGGTGCGTGTGTGATTTATTAACTCGCCTTTTAACGTGGGTGCGTATGTCTGTGTCTTGCACATTGGCCTATGTTGCTGTGGTTAGCAGTTGCCTGGCTGAGGTGTGTGTTTTGGGGGGCGGGTGTTGAACACAGCCTAAATAAGCACAGCCCTTGACAGGGTAAGTTGCTGCTGTTGTTGATGGCATAAATCAAGCGGTAAATCTCAGCCTGGGCTGTACCACCTGCAGCCGCATTGCAGCCTTCACAGATGGTGGCAGCACTTCCTGTGTGGTGGAGAGGCTGTGAGGCTGAACTTTATCTCTGGTGTTAGATTTCTACATAGCAGGCAACTCCCCGTTTACATGGGGGCTGATTTCCAAGGAAGTGCATGTTTTTAATGAAATTGCATATATTGGGAACACTGTTGGAAAAGCCTGCAAACATCCTCTAAACCTCTGGAAACCCTCAAAAAACAATTTAAAAACAAAAAATCTACCAAACCCCACCACGGTCGCTCCCTCCAAGTCCCCTTGCTCAAACTCCCAACTCTCCACAGGACTCAAAGGTTGGTGCAAAGGCTTCTGGGATTGCAAGGTGCAATTTTTGCCATTTCATGCTATTTTTAAGGCCGATTTTGCCCCCTTTTGTGCCATTTCTTGGTTTCTCAGTGATATGTGCATGCGCTTGTCTGTACACAGGGACTACTTCTCCCTAACACCACCACCTGTTGAATGATGGGGCAGTGAAGCATTTAATACTGCCACCATACTGCCTGGTATACCAGAGCCAGCAAATGTGGGGGGGGGCATGCATGTGGTGGGTGGGCAACAGGTGTGAGCTTTACTTTGCCTACATTCCAGGTGCACGAAAATTGGAGGCTTGAGGTTTCCTTGCCTCTGCCTTGGAATGTACAACCTGAGCCTCTGCTTATCGCTTCTGGAGAGTGAGGAAGGGAATTAGCTAACTTGATTGCTACTTCCTGGAATTGGTGGAGCGGCTGAGTCCACCTCCAG